TCACACAAGGCGGCTCTTTCCAAATTTCCAAAGTCCCAAAAATCCGCCACTTGCCGTGACAGTCTGACAGGCTACCTTGAAAGCCTTGGAACACGCGCAGCGCTGGCAGGAGGCTTCTGCTCCCTGCGCGATCGCTGTCTCTTGGCGATGTAGCGATGTTCGCAGGTGCTGGCTTTGCTTGGATCAATGCAAGCTCGTGGCCCGGCACCTGGCTTGGTACCCTGCCATGCTTAGAAAGAGCTGTGTTGCTTGCACATAACACACACACAATATATATATATATATATATATATTATACACATTATATATATATATTATACACATTATATATATATATATTATGTATTATATATATATATACACATGTATATGCTGTTTGTGCGGAATCTTTGTCTTTGAGGCACTGCACGCTGCAGTTTTGCTGCTGCTGCTGTAGTCCTCGTCTTTGGCAAACCCATCATATCGCTGGTTTGAGACGTGGCAGATATGTGGCAGCAATATGCATACTTGAATCTTCCTGGTGCAATCGACCAGACACCTCGCCTGACCTGCCAATCCGAACCACACCAAGTATTCCCCCTCTCATGCTACCACGCGCACGCACAAGCAGATAGCCGACTCCCTGCATGAAGGAGTCAACAAGCATTTAGCAACACCGCTTGATACTCGGCATGTGTGAGAACCGCGCAATGTTGGGCTTGTGGCGATCAACTCGTGCTCTGTTCGCCAGCTGAGCAATCTGTTTGCAAAGCTATTTGAAATCTATCCAAGCAGCACATGCACCAACTGGAGGTCTGCCGCGAAATGCGCACCCTGTTGTGAATGGAGAAGTCAGCTGGCTGAATTGCTGTAGCTTTCTTCTCTTTGCTGTCCTTGGGGCTTGTTACCATGTGCAGATCTTCCCATGGACGAGCATGCGGTAAACATCCGGATTCCTTTGAAACAAGGGATCAGAGCTTTGCGCCACGCATGATGAAGATGGCGTGTAGCGTGGCCGCAATGTCCATGTCGTGGTCTTTAATTAGCCTTTCTCTTCCAGTGATCGCATGCCGTGATAGTATGCCCGACCCATTCATGCTATGCACAACGCTGGCAGTTTGCTATCATTGCTGTTTGCCGAGCTTGCTCAGATTGTCATGTCCACTGAATGCCCTGGCCAGGAAGAATATTCGCTAGCATTCCGTGTGTGCGAAACCAGGACTGCGCGCTTCTTTTCAGGAACATATCAACGTCATTATTTTTCCCCAGATAGCTGAAAGCTATAAGGGCTTCTGACTTCGATGGAGGTGGGGTGAATATTAGCGAAATCGGGCCAGCTGGGAGCGGTCACATAGTTGCATCAGGATGCTGGTCAGGGTGCTGGTGACATGCGGGCAGCGCCAAAGACCCTTATGAAATGGTTGAAGAGGAGCCCGCCCGCGAAAGGTTTGCACTTTCTGTGTTGCCCGCGAAAGCTCCGCGAAAGTGATCATTACAGAACACATGCTCGCGAAATTGAAGCGTGTGGCCGCGAATCACAAAAGGGTACCACGAAAGCGGTTTGTTAGTAGAGGGTTCTATATTCCCTTTTTGCGGCACTGTTCAATGGGCAGCCAAACTGCTTTCATAGAGTTTTACACTCGTGCAAATCACAGCAACGCCTCAAATGCTAGTCGCGCTTGGTGCCACAAGGGGTCAAATGCCAATTCATTTGGTGCCGAGTGCCGAGTGTTTGGTGAACAGTTTGAACATGAACATGAAGTCAATCTACCGGCTGTGAACTCAAAAGGTGCGATCAGAATTCATGTGAATTTACGATGGTAGCTCAGCGCCTGGCCGGCGTTTGTTTGGCAGCCAGCATTTGTACATAAAACTAAAATCCACACATCGGGGCGCAAGGGCAGCCACCCAATGATGAGTGCTCTGTTGACATGCGTGTTTTGTGGCTGGATTTGGACTGAATGCGATGTGACAAAAAGGTGCATAGAACCTTTTCCTCACTACAATACGGTTCTGTAGATATATATATATATACAGGCATTAAAGTGCTGGGGGAAGGTTGCGTACTCTTTTGCCCATGATGATTCCACAGGTTTTGGTTGGGTTCTAACATTCCATTGGAGTCCATTTGACGGGAACGCAGGCTCAATCCAACTCTGCCGCTCTGGACAGGTGTCCCACAGAGGTAGGAGTAAAGTGCGCGAGCTTGGGTACTTCTCTGTTCCTCATGCAAGACACAAAATGTGCTGCCACTTGTGCAGCCATCGCAGGAACACAGCGGCTGCCAAATATTTGCTGGGCAGTCTGGATGCATGCAGCTGAGAGTGTGATCATGTTCCAGATTGCTCTTGAGTGACTTAATTGATTTTGTCAGCCGCATGTCCAGCCTTTGAAGAACCTGGACAAAGGCCTTGATCCTCCGGGACGAGCTCAACATGTGTGGAGAGGCCTTGTTCTGCCATGCGCTTAGGGGATTCGCCCCACGTGTCAGGATTGGAGCCGGGCCTTGGACATTTTCAAAGACATCTCAAGCAAACGACTAGTTCCTGACAGGGCCGGCAGCCCAGGGGCCAGCGAGGCCATGAATTCCTGAACGTTCTGCCAAAACGACCGGACATCGCTCGTTGACCGAGGAGATCTACAGTTCCACCATGCAAATCTTAGAGCAAAGCAGCCAGTGGGTCTGCCGCCAGCGCTTTGCTGCCGTCTGTTTGCATGTTTGCTCCGCAAGGTGAAGGCACTGCAACTTCTCGGTGAGTGGCGCACGAGAGGTGCAGCAAGTGTGCATGCAGCAAACCTGCTTCAAGCAGCAACTGAGTGTCCTTCTGCCTCAGCACGAGTCGAAGGATACGCGGCTGACGAGGTCACTTACAGCCCGGAATCCAATTTTGTATTTGCATCTATCCTGACACAAGATCTGAGGTTTGATGGTGAAAAGTTGCTTACGCGAGGAGAAATTGGAAGAGGCTATTGTGCTGACGAAGGCCCGAGCCCGATTTTTTTTGGCATACATGTAGTTTGGGTTAGCTGCAGGAACTCCTGCAAGCTGGACTACAGCTTCCGACCGAGATATATGAGGTGCCGGTGACGGGGATTTTTGTCTGAGGCTTGTCACTACAGCGCAGGCGCTTATAGTGGCCTGCAGTGCTCGGGATCAGTGGCAGTGGGCGCAAGCCTCAGGCTCCCGCGGTGGAAAGCCCACCATTTGGATATGGGTCAAAATTAAGCCACTAGATGACCGAGGTTTTAGTCCATGTTTCCATTTACCAGGGCAAGCCATTTTGGGGTTCCCCTATTTTTGACAACCACATCCATTTTGGCATCACGAAGCTTCAGCTTCAGCACGTGCGAGCTGGTTGAAGAAGCCTCGGGAAGGAGGCACGATTGATCACAGCACATATGAGTGGTAAGAAGCAAATCCAAACACGTGCCAGGCGTGAACATGACCCAGACAAGTACAGCATCATTCTGAACAAACATGGCGGTTGGACAATGCTTCACAGTTGTTTGCAGATACTCTGAGCTTACTTCTGCTGTTGATAATTTCAAAACGTACTAAACTGTCATTCTGGATTAGCTCTTTTGGATTTAGATTCGTAATTTCCGGTTTCATGCGGAATTGAACGGAAGCTGCTTCAATTATGTGCGAAGAGAAACAACAGCTTCTACTAGCATGCGGATGTTGAGTCGCAATGGCTAAGCGGGCTTCCAAACAAGCAACGTTTTTACAATGAAAACTGCTATCTGCAAAAAGCGCTATCACTTACTATTGCGTTTAGTCATGTGCTCAAACCGGACCTCCTTTTGCATCGAAGGAAAGCTGTTCGCAGGTATGTGCAAACGGGTCTCTTCGAGGAGTAAGTTCAAAACACAACAGAACATGCAGACGCTCTCAAGAGGAAGGTCAGTGCACTGGAGCTGTTTCCGGCTTGTACCTCAACAGGACTGTTTGAGTGTGTAGCTGTGTAGCAGCGAAATAGCCTCAATATGGTGGGGGGTCGACCGCCGGGTTGATTTTGTCTTCCCGAAGTGCACTTAGCCAAGCGCCCAAAGTGCACATAAATCAAGGCTACCCCCACCTCGCAAAGTAAACCATGACTCCAACACGTAGAATCTGTAGCAGGCGCAGCAAAATCAGACGTCCCAGGTCCGTGACAAAGGCAGGAGAGACATGTTGGTAAAGCTTTGTTGTTTGAGAACAACAGCCTCATTGGCTACATGGCACTTCACATCGCTGCTAAAATATCGCCATGTTCATGGCCATAGGGTTCAGCTGTTGTACTTTGCAGGCTTTGGTTTGCTCTGGCAGGACATTTATTTTTGAATTTAACTTTGACTTTTATTTGTGATGGTGTACATAGCAATAAGAAACGGCCTTGAAGGATAGCTTGCCTATTTGGCTGGCAAGTTGGTTGCTTTGTCACTGACATGAGTTCACAGCGATTGCTGCGTGTTTTTCTCAGGCCGTATTCTTCTGGCAAGCGGCCCAGGCTCAGAAACAAGATCGGCTGTTGCCTGGATTTCATGAGCTGTTGTGAAGGGTGGCATAACCGACCCGGATGTGCACGAGTCGATCATTCGGGCCTGTCAGGCCCGTTCCTGAGTTCCGGCCACCAGCTCATTTGCAGCGTTCAGGTTGCAGGTGAGTGGCAGTGGATCCTCACGATATTGAAGGCAATGGAGGAGGCGCAGCGCAAGATGCTGAGTATTCTGCATGGCCCCCGCTTCGGAAGGTATCGCTCCAGCCGAGTATAACTGCATACAGCTCTGCAATTTCAGCTTGCGAGGAGGTGGGCTGCTTTCAACAAAGTCGGGTCAACTGAAGGCGTCAGATGGCTGTGGCTCAAAAAACCGGTACCATAATGGAACCCTGGTAAGTGCGTAACCCCTTATGTTCAATTTTGCGCCACACCCAGATGGTTGGCTGGAGGCCCAAAAGTGGGAGTGGGCGCGAGAACTGCAGCAGAAGGTGGACAGAGTCAAGGAAGTGCCATACGTTGCATGCAGCTGGCTTGTGGCTTGGTGGTTCTTAGCTTTTTTGCTGTGACTTCCTGAAGGATTCAGTTGCACCTGAAGCCAAGGACTCGCCCTGGTTGTTGGCCATGTTTGAATTGAATTTTCCTGTCACAGGTTGCAACAGCAGCTGTAAAAGATGTCGATGCACTACAGGAAGGTGCCAGCATGTCCGACTGTGGCACGTTTGGGTTTGCATCCTCTTTTTATGGTGTCAAAGAGAAACCAAAGGAAGACCACCATTTTGGGGGGTCACCCAAAAAGACCCCCACCCGTGTCGGTGCAAGTCGTAGTTCTTGAGAAAACAGGCGAGCTTACAAAAGAAAGCCTACGTGGTGTGCTAGAATCGTCCGGGCCCTGGCTTGTTGAATTTCAGAGAAGTACAACAAACAAGACAGCAGTGTTCTTTTGAGTTTCATGAATGCTATAGTTTGGTCAGGATCAATTCCCTGAGTTTACACAAATTATTGAAAAAGAGCTGGAGGCTTGTGCCTCTAGTGGATCGTTTTTTTTTGTGCAAGATGCGAGTGTTGGCTCATCCAGAACACTTGGCATCGTTGAAAGTAGACTTTGGATGAACACTTGGCTCCCTTTGTTGGCATTTCCTGCGGATTTCCACCGCGCCGGCCATATATACTGCGCAATACGCATTATGCAGGGACTCTGCCGAACGGCAATCATACTTTTGCTCTATTTTGCTAAGTTCGGAAAGCCGTACAGTGCTTCAAGCATGTTTATTCGGCTGCTACGTTTTGGAGCAATGCCTGAAGTGCATCTGATGCAGCCATTTTAGTGCTGTTTGAGCAGTCGTGATCCAATTTTGAATCTGCGAGGTCTGCACAGTCCTGGCAGTTCTCTTTAGCAATGCTTCGTCAGATGCAAAGCGACTTCCTGAGCTCGAGAAATTGCGCACACGCCCAGTGACTGGTCACCTGGTCGCGTCGCTCAGGTCGCCAAGTGCAGCCAAGCTTGGATGCCTTCAATTCTGCAGTTGCTGCCTGCCAGCAAGGCATTTGGGTGAAGGGACTGCATGGCACAGCCCCGCTACAAGCGCCAGCCAGCCAGAACGCAGGTGGTCAAGTTGACGCCGCAATCAGCGTGGCAGAGGAGATGGAGCAGGCGCTGGTGAAGTGACTTTCTGGCATGAGGTTCTTCGTCAGATTGAAAGGCCGGTTTCGACCTTGACATCAAGTTGTACAATGCGTCTTCCTCAGCGTTTGCATTTCCAGACTGCTTGTCCGATGCTCGCTTTGCAAGGAGCTGATCAATTGGCTTGAACCTGGCAAAGCTCAGAAGGCAGACGCAACATACATCAGAGTGTTTTACTGCCACGGGCTGTTTTTGCATGTCTGCAGCATGACTCTTGCGACTGCGCAGACTCCAGCCGCAATCCGGCAGAGTTGGTCAATGCCGCCCGGTTCTTTCCGATTGGTGAGGCTGGGTACAATTCCTGTGGCTTGCAGATTACTCCCTTGCGCCATCAACTTTCACCCTAAATGTTTGTTTCTTTCCACTTGCGGACAGAGGGCATGCGCACAAAGTCTGCCAGAGTAGTCATTTGTTGTATGCGTGTTTTTCCTACGAAAGGATTGAAGGACAACAGCAGTAAACCTTGAACACGGTGGGGGGGGGGAGCTGTGTAAGCCCGTACTTTGCATGTCTTAATCTTGGAAGTGTGGGATCTACGTGGGTGCTGCGGAGTTGTGCTGGTGCTTGTGTGTTTTGCGCTCTTTCTACAAATGCCTTGTGAATTTTCTGTTTGCAAGCACGATGCAAGTTGCTTAGGTCAATTTTCCTGTCATTCTTTTTGCTCTTGTTCTGATTGGCAGGCGGAAGCACGGAGGAAGACGCCCGAAAAAAGCGAGCCCAGTCATGACAAGACAGCTTTGAAGCTTTGCAGATCTGCATTTCCACCCAGGGCAGATCTCAGCGTCCACCTTGAGTTCCCGAGAGAGCCTTCACTGCATCGCACCAGTCAGTGGAATCATGAAGGCGTTCAGCCCTGAGCATGTCATGGCGATCACAACTAACTATGCCTTCCACGCCAGGCGTGCCACTGAGCGTCCAGAAATTTGTGCCGGTGGTTGAGGATCAGCAAGTTCATGCCAGCCTTGGGACCGCAAATTGTGGTTGGTGCCGCCAACTCGGACCTTTGGTGTTGGACCTTGTGCGTAGTTGGCTGAGCGGGCGACGCGAGAAGATGGACGAGGTCGAGCCAAGCACAGTCAAGCTGAGAGCAAAATGCCAAGTATTATATTATACATCAGCCTTGAGAATGACATGCGGGACCGCAACCGCACTGTGACTTTCCTTTTTCTTCAAGAGTCCTTTCGCCTGCCTCAGACAGTTTCGCCAAAGCGCATTCAAAGCGGGACGCTTGGACGCAGTGCTAGCCTCGAAGCATCAGACCGGAGGGCTCGGCGCCGCGTTTCCAGCCCTCGCGATGGATCCAGGCCGTGCCCACTTGGCTGTGGTTGTCAAAGCCGTTTGGGGATCCCATTTCGAGGTAGGTGCACGACCCACTTTAGTCTATTTTAGTGGTTGGATTGAATCGGTCCCGTTCACTGGGGTACGGGCTTTGGACCCATGGGCACTTGCTTAGGGTCGTGTTTCTGGGTGCTGATAGGTCAGAGGGTCTCGGAGTATGCAGTGGCCACCTCCACCAGCGCCCTGTTCTCACGCAGCTTGTCTCAACTGCGTCTCTCTGCACTGGGCTTGTGTATGTTGACAAGTGTCAGGAATGTGTGGAAACCAAAGCGGGATCTTCGGATGCGAATCTTGCAAGCGTGACTCCAGGTGCCCTTGCTCGAACCCGGGGCCGCTGCTAGGCTGCAAGACTTGTTTCCAGCATTGCGCTGTTGCAGCTGTACTGCGACTGCTGAGCTCAGGTCAGATTCCCTATATGTGCAGCGCACCGGTGAGGGCTGAGCCTGATGGTGTCTATGCGGATGGCATCAAGCCGCTCGGCGGCAGCTGCAACAACTACTCCTGGTGCAGCATGATTCTGTGCAACGTGCTCGTGTTTGATTTGCTGAACCACAGGATCACTCTGGCCAACAAGATGTGGATGTATTATGACAACATCATGTGCCTTGGAATGGAACTCATGTACAATGACATTATCTGCCCGGAGCATCCAGCTTCTGAATGTAAGCGAACCAAGTCTGCTGAGCGTGATCATGCCCGCTGCCGCTGTGTGGATGCTTGTCAGCAAGTCTCTATGGTCCTATTTCGGAGGGACATAGACTTCAATGTGGGTAACAGAAAAGTCTGTCCATGGCTCATTATACTCTTGTTGTCAAACAGGGGAGGTCAAGCCGACCGGCCTTCTGCTGCGACATGGACTGCTGTAAGGATCCTGAACAAAGTGCCCAAGTGAGCGGAGTACTGTGGGTATCCTATACATGGTTTCTACATGAGCATTGTACAAAGAGCGCAACGCAAAATGCCAGCTGCGTGTGATTGTTTTGTTGCCTTTAGTCGTGGTCTTACCAGGTTGTTTGTTAAATTTGCAACTTCTCAGTCCTTTGTCCAGGCTGGTCTTTGCCAGCACGACCGAATTGGCTCAAAGTGATCAACATCTTGAGCATGACAAAACAAATGCGGGGATTGGGATAATAATGGTGTTGACCACATAACTGCATGCAAAAGAAGCAACATTGAAACAACACAATGAAACGGTGCATATAGGCTGTAGACCTTTCTGATCGTGCCGGTACACTATCCTGGTCGCTAATACTAGCGTCACCACCACCCCCAACTGCTAGGGTGGCAATTGCTTGGTCGTCACCACTCCCCGCAAACCAAACTGGTTTCTAAATAGTGGCAACGCAGCCATGTGGATGCAAGTTGCGTTGAGAACATGCAAAGAAACTATACAATGGCCCGAAAGCCTAAAGCACGAAGATATACTAGAAAGAGCACGCACCTTTAAGCCTTGAAACATTTGCAGCAGGAAGCATGGGAGCATGTTGCTCCCACCATGCTTCAAACCAATGCTGGTGATGAGGATGCTGGAAGCCTGTTCCAGGGTGGAATCAAGCCTCGCAGAGGGCGAAGAAGAGCACTTGCTGGTACGAAGCAAAACACAACTCTTGGTTTTGTTCCGAAGATCATATGCGGGAATGTAGATCAGAACAGAGCCTGTGGTGACAATTAGAACGATGTCACCACCAGCATCCCTTGCATCTATTTCCACCCTTCCTCCCCTTTTCAGCAAGGGCTCGGCGGACTTTTTGCTCCTCATTTGCTTCGAGATGCTGTCACGAGCAGAAACCTGGTTCCAAACATGAACGCGCCAATCAAGTACAGCAGCATCAGCATTGTTCACATCAAGAAGCTCACAGGGCATCGCAGGTTGCCGAGGCGAAGTCTGAGACATCATCTTGCTGGTGTCCGATCTTCTTTGGACAATGACCTGTGGCATTTGCATGCAGTCTTTCCACACCGCTTGGTGCGCAGATGCGGGGGTCTGAATCATTTCGTGACAACTTTGGTGTGAGTGTGGCACGTCGGCAAGAGGCGTTCCTTCCGGAAAGGTGCTGGTCGAGTCCTGCTGCACCACACTTGTCAGCAATTTGGATTGCCAGGTGCTGCTTTGAGTAGCAGGCATGGAATGCAGTGGACACGTCTTGCCAGACTGCTAGCTCCGATCCATACAATCATACTATCAAGCAAACGTCTTCAACTAACGTGACCAGAGTGACTGCGAGCTCTGCGCAACTCAGCTTGCACACCCAGGGCACTCTGCAGGCATATCATGAGCAGGCGGTGGCGCTCAAAGCAGACACATGAACCCAATGTTGGGTGAACCAATGTTCTATGGTTGCAGTACGAATGCTGAAACCATGGCCCCTCTTCAGGTTGGCTGAAACACTTTCTGCTCGCTGCTCACCGGCAACAAGCGTGGTCATACGTGAAGAAGACGCATGCGACACCTTGCTGCCTAGACACGGCTGCTCCAAGCTGCCGAGCAATGCTTGCGGCAGCGCTTGCCGAGTCTAAAGCGGTAGAAGCAAACCCCCTGTCTTGGCAGGAGTCTAGAAGAGTCACAGCGAAAGAAGAAAACAACGCCGTTCCATCTCCATCAGACCCTATCGCACAGAATCAAGACTGGAGGGCTATGTGCCTATTGGGAGTTCGGGATCTTGCAAGTGCAGCACTAACAGCTGCAGCATTGCAAGCGTCGTACCCATGCCCCCCGTTTCCCACCCGCCCAGCCCACTCCCCCCGTTTCCCCTCGCAACGGCAGTCAGCCGCAATGCGGGCTCCACTGGGCGCACCCAGTTGAGGCCACCCTACTGTTCAAGAGATCCAGACTATGCTCCACAACTATTTGGCTGTGGGTCAAAATTCAACCACAGGTTGAATCCACGTTTCCATTTACCAGTACATAATTTTGACCCACTGCCATTTCGCAAGAACTTAGGACACTGACAACCAAGGACTTTAGCATCAACAACCCAAGGAGTTGACAAGTACATAACCCTTTTGCAAGAATCTGACGAAAAAAAAAAAAAAAAACCCACTCACCCTAACTTTTGGCTTGCAAGAATCAAATCATGCTGCCAGAGCCAAGCCGTTGTTCCACGCATCAAACACCATTGAAACAGTGCGATCAAGGCCACAGCCACAGCCTGGAACAACCAAGCACGCAAGTACCCAGGAGTGCAACAAGTTGCAAGGGCCCTGCCTGTTTGCGAAAAGGCCACCAACAGAGTGCAGTATCCAGCCTGCTTGTTTGACGTGGTCTAGGCAAGGGCGAAGCCTCAATGCATCCCAGAAGCTGCATGGAGTTAGTTGTGGCTCAAGCCATGGGCTATGGATCTGCCTGTTTCTAAGCGAAGAAAGAAGGGAGGAGGCAGGCTGGAGCAAGCTGAGCTTGCAACATGACGTGTTGTGTTCCAAGCTCCGCTGTGATGCAGGCATGCAGGTGGAGACCTGGCATGACGAGAAGCTTGCGGCGGATGGAGAAGTCCTGACACGAGATCAATCAGTGACTGGGGAGCTGCTTGCAAAGGTATAATAATTCATGTTGTTTGCTTGACCCCTAGCATTGTGAGTCAGAACGCCCCGGAGCTTCAGAGCTGCAAAGGATCGGGCGTGTGCTTAGAGACTATCCTCCTGGCACACAATCGCTGCGCGAGTTGGTGCAGAATGCAGATGATGCTGGGGCCAGCATCATCAAGTTCTTCACAACCGAACCACGGACACCAGACTTGGAAGCCTCATGTCCTTACCTCCATGAGGGATTCAGCGACTTTGCCGGCCCTGCGTTGTACACGTTCAATGATGCGAAGTTTTCTGAACAGGACTTCAAAGCCATTCGAAATATTGGTGCTTCAAGCAAACTCAATGACGCCACCAAGACTGGCAAGTTTGGACTCGGCTTCAATGCGGTATATCATTTTACAGATTTGCCCAGCTTCGTTACAGGCTCACATTTGGTCATCATGGATCCGCACCAACGAATGCTTCGGGGCAGGGACGGCGAGCGCGCTTTTGCGAGGCGCTGGAATTTTGTGGATGATCCGAGCATACGTAGCTATGCGGGTCATGTTCGCTGGTTTCAAGTCCCAGGCCATGCTTGTGACTTCTCTGGCGAGTTCGATGGCACCATGTTTCGGTTTCCGCTGCGGTCGGAGCAGCACGCTCATCATTCGGAGTTGTCCAAGCAGACATGGAGCTTGGAAAGGATGCGGGCGGTGTTTCAGCAGTTCCAGGTGGAATGCAAACCAATGCTGCTTTTTCTCAAGTCCGCGACTCGGAATGACATTTGTTTGCCCATGTTTGTTTTTGGCGGATCATTCTGAAATTTGGCGCACATGCTCAACACGTTGTTTTCATTGGGAGTTCTCACATCAACACCTTTGCCAAAGGACACTTCTTCTGATTTCACGAGCCAATTACAATGCAGTGTGTGGTTAAGGTGAACTGCTCCGTGAGATTTCGATAAGACGTGGCCGCTAGTTGTGGTCGGTCGAGGTGAGCGCTGTGGAATATTGGTCCGAAGAGGCAGATGGCAACACGAAGCTGGTGTTTCGAGCAAGCGTGAACAGCTGTGACTTCCAAGGGTTTCAGGGCACGCGCCAGACTCAGTGCTTTGGAGCTGGCTTCAGAATTGGCTTCAAGGGCTCAACCCTTAAGGGCACCGCGCCCAAGGCTGCGCCAGATGTTGGCCAGGGCTGCCCGCGACAGCATCAAGGCTGCTGTGCAGGACACAGTTTCGGGACATGGTGAGGCTGATGGAGCCATGAGCTTTGGCTGCTAGCTTGTAGCCTTCGTGGCCCATGAGGACAATCCCTCAACACTTCCTGACAGGAATTCCTGCCCAAGATGCAGTGCACCCTACTTGCAGAAGTATGCTTCAAGTCAAATCAGAAGGACCAGAAGCCGGTCACACGGCTGACCTGCGCCATGATTTCGTTTGGTTGCGCTCTGACTGCGTTCCAAGCAAACGCGCGCAGGAGAACAGCAACCAATGGTTGGTGTCCTCATACTTGGACAATTCAGAGGTTCGGCAGAAAGCTCTCATGAGTGGCAAACACCTGGCTGGACATTGTCACTGAATCTGGTCAGGTGATGGTCTTCAGTGAAGAGAAGTCCCAGGAAGTTCCCGGTTCAAGGTTCATCCCGTTTGGCTCCGAGTCCCAGCTTGGACGCATGCGTCACATCGCCAGGCAGTTTGCCGGGGCAGTGTTTGCTGAGGTGGATGCTGCTGGCCCTCCCCGTGGATGAAACTTGCGAAGGCAGAGCTGCATCAATCAGCGTTGGTTGAATAACATGTTTTGAGCCGAGCTTTCTCGAGGCAGCCTCTTCTGCTTCTTGCAGCTTCCAATCAAGACTGGCATGTCAGCTCACATCAATGGCTTTTTCGAGCTATCCAGCAATCGACGTGCCTTGGTTTGCATCGGAGCGCTGAGCGGATTGCCCGCAGAATACGCTTCGGTGCTTCGAGTTGTCCAGGTGAGCTATGGGATGGTCAAGATTTGGTTGGGCCTGAAGCCGTGAAGCGCGATTGGACGCCCGGCTGTTTGGCCCGATGCCCCTCGAGCTCATTTCTTGGCTCTTTGCCGGCCCCGACGGCCAAAACGCTTTGTCTCAAGCCAGGAACAAGCTCTTGTTCTCGCACCTCGCACCACGGTGCTTTCTGGCAGCCGTCAAGCAGCTTACCCGCTTGAGGCCGGGCGGTGTGTGATGTTCTTCCAGTCGAGAAGTGAGAGCTGTATCACACGCAAGCGCGATATGCTTGGCTGTGCCTCAGGCAGTCGGATCAAAGCATGACCTGCGCTCTGGGCTGCAGGGGTCGCGTGAGCCAAGTCTTCCTGAGTTTGATACGCGCTTCGGAGTTGTGCTTGAATAGACCCACGCCTCGTTTGAGGTGCCAACGGCTTTTGGCAACATTCATTGCCACCCATGCTGGTGGACTTCGAGCGCAACTTCTTTAACCTGGCGTTGGTGCCGGCCTCAACAGCGTTTGACGCCTCGCTTTAAGTCAAGTCCAAAATGCTTGCATCGACCCAGCGCAGTGACTAATATGCTACTAGAGACCTTGATTTTAGACGACTCCCAATCAAGGTGTTACTTTCCAAGACAATGATGGATGTTGCTCGAACGTAGGCATTGTTCTGAATCCCTTCGCGAGTTGCTCGCGAAGCACTCTCAGATGAGCAGGGAACAACTGTGGGAGAAGGTGCTGCTTCTTTCTCTTCCTCAGTTTTGCTCATGAATTCAACAGGCTGCGTAATTAGTCGCAACATTTGCCACAGGCAGACAACAGCACGTGCTCATCAACATCAGACATATACACACATACTTTTACACACATATATATATATATACATATGTACAGCAGTATACCCCAAATCATATTAACTTTGCTTGCAACTCCAGCTTTGGTCCGGCCTTCCCCACAGTCCACTGGCAGTGGGCTCTTAGTTTGTTAAGGATGCAAATGCCACGGAGCTGGTCGAGACACCCGCTGGTCCACAGCAGATGTCCGCCTGCTTCTGGATAGATGAGTTGCTTGGCAAGGCTCTAGGCGAATGTGTGCATTGTGCTGCGCCAATTGCCAAGTTCTATAACTCAAGGGCTGCGCCCACCGGCTGCGGTTGTCGGATTTGGGGCAAGGGCGGATCCAAGATCACTCCCATCAATTCTATTCTGAGGACAGCGCCCGCGTTTCTTTTTCAGCAATTGTCCCCAGATTTCTACAGAATCCGAATCAAACCCATCCCCTGATTTGTCAAACAACCGGGGAGGAAAATACATCGCCACCAGGATGGCACTCCGTCAGTGTCCAGTTCCTTTGCGCCGCTTCCATTCCCCCAACTCACCCGCATCAGTTTTCAACCGCAGAGAGGGAGAGAGAGAGATAGAGATAGAGAGAGGCAGAGAGAGAGAGAGATAGAGAGAGAGCTGAAGAGACATAGAGAGAGAGGGAGAGAGGGAGGGATAGATAGAGTGGAGTTGCGCCTTTTTGAGCCCCCAGCAACCCAGAACCCCATGCCGCAAAAACCCCACCGGATCCATTAGTTTTGAACCGAGAAAGGCTAGAATTCGGAACCTTGAGGGAGCCTTGGGAACTGAGAAAGACTTGATTTGCACTTCAGCGACCCCCCAGCGGCAGATGCGAGCCCAGCTGTCAGATCCACAGACAGACCGTACCCCTTCGAGCCCAACTCCAGTCTCCTCATGCTTCCTCAATTCCTCCGTTCCACGTTTTTGAAACCGTCTTTGGAAGCGCGGAGATTGCCCTGGCGAAAGACTTGGCGATGAAACTACCCGGTTCTTCAATTTTCGTTGTGATCCCACTTGATCCGACCTTCGAGCCAGTGCCAGACGGGATTCAACTGACACGTGCACGCGGGAGAAATTGCCGGGGGAGCAAGTCCCCAGCAAGTCAGGAGATTGGCGCAAGACTCGGCAGTGGTCGCCGCCCTGAACAACCTGCGAGCTCCGATTTTGATCGCTGGCGAGTGTCCGCGAAACCATTTCCGAAGACTTGGAAAGTCCTTTGTGGTGACTTGGTTGCTGTCTGGGAGAGTACTCGCATTCAACTTGCTTTTTTTTGTGCGCCATTGTGTGGGTTAAAGGTGGCAGCGCATAAAAGAGCTTGATGGGTCATTCAAGTTCATACTTTAGTGGAGGCTGCTGTCAAGATACAGACAAAGATTGTGTGTGTGTGCGGAGTGGCAGAATACCCTGTCACCACAATTAGTAGCAGGGGGCCAGCGGCCATCAAGCAAACGCTGGCCAACGAAGCTATGCTTGATGGTGGATGCACGGATTGATCACCCGTGTGTACCTGCTTTTGTGAAGTGATGTTGATGAAAGTCCAGTTGGCCGCTTCTTTTGCCGCTGTGTGTGCTTCATGTTGAACCTTGTAACGTTTTCGACACTAGAGTGAAGCCAAGTGACCTGCCAGCCGAACCTTATCCGACTTGAGACTTGTCAGTTGTACTCGAGCCTCATCAGTTGTACTCGAAAGATTAGCACCCTCCATCTGGAGTTTAAGTGTGTACACCCCATTCGTGGGGAATCCTCGGGTGTACCCATTGTGTGACCCCGGGCCGACTCTGTCGGAAAATTTGACCTCAACGTGCTTATCATAGAACAGCGGAATTTCTGATTTAACCAGGAACGAGGTTTCACTAAAGGGAAGACAGCCGTCAGATCATAGCTAAGTCTCACAATTGCTGCTGGTGGCTGCATGACCGCGTGTTGATCTGTGCTTGGCTTGAACTTGCGTTGACTTGCATCTTGTCGGATTCGATTCTCTCAAGATTGAGGTGTCGCAGTTTTGAGTTACCTTGGGGGACAGGATCTACAACTACCGCACATGGCAACGCAGGTGGACTCCTGACATATCTTTTCCGTGTCGCTGTTCAGACATTGATGACCACCTCCTACATCGTGCACATGAACATGTAGTAATGGTAGATGAGTTCTCACGTATCAATGCAGACATCGACATTGACATCATGACCGCGTCCATGAAGGATCAATATTTTGGCGATGTTGACATGCTGCATCGCGTTTTTACCACACAGCTTCGCAAACTAGCTAGCTGGATCGGAACCCGCGGTACGCCCTGTCTTTCACTTCGGCGTGGACATCGAGGATGCAACTCAGGCGCCGGGCCGAACCGCCAGGACAACCTCAGCTGTGGCAACCAGAAGAAGCCGCACCTGACCTACCAGACAACTCGTTTCGGGAGTGGAAGCGGGTAACTGATCCCATTGGTGGGACTGGTGAACACAGTCAGGCGTGGACAACTCGCGACTGGCAACATCAAGGTTACCAACGCATTCTTTCTCGCTTTGAGTCCTTCTCCACTCATCAAGCCCAGGATCAATCACTTGTTGACGTGCAGAATTCGGACATCATCCGAGTCGAGGAGATGTTCACCTATGCCCCCCCTATTTCTGACGGTGATCGCTCGACTGCTTTGCAACTTCCTCCGGTTGCTACCGCGTTTATCTCTTCGACTTGCGGGTTTGAGTGTTCAAATCATGTTGGAGCAAGATGTGCAGACATTCATAACTGGGACCCATGGAGCGCAGCCGACGTGGTTACAGTTTCACGGGCCTGGTACATTGCTTGACAGACCAGTTTTCTTGTGTAGTTGCTGGTTGTGCATGGTTGTGCATGGTGACTGTTTCTTTGCTAGCTGGATCGGAACCCGCGGCACGCCCTGTCTTTCACTTCGGCATGGACATCGAGGATGCAACTCAGACGTCGGGCCGAACCGCTGAGCAGCACCCATGGCTCGAATATTCAGTCTGGCAGGATCAGGAGTGGGTGCGGATCTATACTCCAGGACAACCTCAGCTGTGGCAACCAGAAGAAGCCGTACCTGACCTACCAGACAACTCGTTTCGGGAGTGGAAGCGGGTAACTGATCCCATTGGTGGGACTGGTGAACACAGTCAGGCGTGGACAATTCGCGACTGGCAACATCAAGGTTACCAACGCATTCTTTCTCGCTTTGAGTCCTTCTCCACTCATCAAGCCCAGGATCAATCACTTGTTGACGTGCAGAATTCGGACATCATCCGAGTCGAGGAGATGTTCACCTATGCCCCCCCTATTTCTGACGGTGATCGCTCGACTGCTTTGCAACTTCCTCCGGTTGCTACCGCGTTTATCTCTTCGACTTGCGGGTTTGAGTGTTCAAATCATGTTGGAGCAAGATGTGCAGACATTCATAACTGGGACCCATGGAGCGCAGCCGACGTGGTTACAGTTTCACGGGCCTGGTACATTGCTTGACAGACCAGTTTTCTTGTGTAGTTGCTGGTTGTGCATGGTTGTGCGTGGTAACTGTTTCTTTGCTAGCTGGATCGGAACCCGCGGTACGCCCTGTCTTTCACTTCGGCATGGACATCGAGGATGCAACTCAGACGTCGGGCCGAACCGCTGAGCAGCACCCATGGCTCGAATATTCAGTCTGGCAGGATCAGGAGTGGGTGCGGATCTATACTCCAGGACAATCTCAGCTGTGGCA